AGAGAGAGAGAGAGAGAGAGAGAGAGAGAGAGAGAGAGAGAGAGAGAGAGAGAGAGAGAGAGAGAGAGAGAGAGTGGCACGAGCAGTTTGTCGAACTTTGCGGGGTGGTGGCGATCGGAGGCGCTTGAATGACCCTGTGTCATGCCTCTAGAGTCTATACTGAGTCTATAGAAGACGAGCTTTGCGGCTGTTGAAGGACATAGAAGTCGGAAGCAGGCAGCTGATGATGCGCGGAAAGAGAATTGCACCCGCAATGACATCACATGCAATCCAACACAATCACTCTCGCTGTTGTCCGACGGAAAAAAAACGGCGGGGGGGGGGGAGAGAGAAAGAGAGAGAGAGAGAGAGAGAGAGAGAGGAAAAAGGCCTGAGAAAAACCTGTCTATTAGTGTTGGACTAAGGGCGAGGAACTGCTTATCGTATGACAGGCCGCGGCTGAGGCATGTCCGTAATCTCCCCTGTACCTGACGTTATATAATTCGACGGGCTTAGGCCGCTTACTATTGGCAGGAACAGACGCTGTACCTGAGATGAGGATGGATTCGGTAGACGGTCTTCACTCACCATTGCCAAGCGATCCCTTAGCAGTGGATCCTATGTATTATCAGGTAGATTTCACTCATGATTATCGAAGGAGATCCCTTGCCCACTGCCTCTCTCCCCTGAGTCTCCCCTACCCTCGGCAGAAAGACGACACGTCCAATGCAACGCATCTTAATGGGACTTTCAAGTCACTAATGGACTAACAAAGCCATGGAGTCCGCTTTCGACATGCCAAGTGTTCCCATTACTTGGTGCAAGGCCCTGCAAGCCATATCCCGTCAATGCCTTTATCGGTGGAACACCCCCCATTCGTCTGGCGACTGCCGACTGGATGCACTGTACAATTGCATTACACTTCATTCTACGGTTCTACCCCCCTCTATCGAAGAGATCTTTCATAGTTCCCCCCTTCTTCACAGTTCGATCATCCGCATGCCACCCCCTGCCGTTCTGTCCGGACATCACAGTTGCAGCCTTGCAGGACCAATGCAGGTGTGTTTGGTGATTTGCAGCTTGGCAAGCACCAACTGCCAACAAGAGGCTAACGAATCTAGGATTAACTTCGCATTTAGATTGAGTCCCAGTCGGCGCAGTGCTACTGAGTGTTGCCTGAGTTTGCAACGTAGGGGTGGAGTGGCCTTCATTGCCCTTCAATGCCTTCATAGTTCAGCTTCGGGTAAACAAATAGCCTTCGCTCGTTCGGCTAGTCTCGGACAGTTGAATCCGAACTTTGTGAACAACGTGAAGCACACGTCAAGCTTGCGTGCAATCGAGAAGTGACCATATTCGCGTCATTCCCGTGTAAGGATGACGACAATGTCCTCTGGATTAAGCCATTAAGGTACTTCCGAGTAGGAACGCAGACCTTGCTTTCAGCAGTGCGAGCGTGCTCAAGCAGAGTGAACCAGTGACATATTTGGGTCATCGTAAAGACTTCATGGTGATGAAGGGAGTCAAGCGACAGAAGTCACAGGACTGAAATTTCTTGCCTTTGAAGGAACAGAGTATAGACTATTCTCGTGATGCCGGTAGAGTAATGCTCCGCAAGAAAAATGACATCTACGCTCAGCTTTACTTTCTTCCAGTCACCAGTGTAGCAGACTCGTTCCAGCCGGCAAGTTCGGCGCAACCTACCTCCCCTGAGTCCCTTCCCTCCCTGCTTTACGTCTCTTGCCTGGCTGCCACATCTGTAAGCCTGTAAGGTAGTCAAATCAAATATTCAACCTAGCCTTTTTCTTTCTGCACAGTACACTATCTTCTGTTTTCCCCCCAGTTACTGGACAACCATGACAAGATGGCCAGCTCCGAGAGCCAGTGAGCCACTCAGCAGTCACACGTCGGCTTAGTTCAAAGAAATCTTTGTTTGTGAGCGCTTGCTAGTAGCTGTCCGCGATTACCGGTGGTAGAAACTTGGTCTCTTTAGTCCTCTCACCAGCCGTGAGACTGCACCTCTCTCTCTCTCTCTCTCTCTCTCTCTCTCTCTCTCTCTCTCTCTCTCTCTCTCTCTCTCTC